ATCTACTTGGGGATATGGTTTAATGGGGATTGGGATGGTTGGACTCGATGATCTCTAAGGTCTTTTCCAACCTAGAAATCTATGAATCTATGAAAAGCTAACTCAAGTCAGTGGAGATGCTATAGAAATAGAGCTGAGAGTATTTCCTAATGAATACTTCTGGTATTAACCTTCCTGGTAATTGGAACAGTTTTTCTCCAACTTTATAGTAACAAGCTTAATGATAAAATTCATTTTCACACAAGCTTTGTCACCTCTGTACAAAACAGATTAAAGATGAAGTTGCACATTGTGGCTGAGCTGGTCTAGCTGGCTTATCACTGCCAAAAAAGGAATGTCTTGGCTTCTCCCTTGTGCTCATTTCATTGCTCATCTGATCCCACAGTGAGATAGTTCACTTCAGCAATCTCACAGAAAAAAAAATAGTTACCTTTTCTGTTTTGTCTTGTTTTGTGTTTGACTGTAAGGTTGGTTTTCTGTTAGTTTAATGAGTTGGCTCACTGCAGGATCAGAGGAACTCCACAGAAGCCTGCAGCTGGGAGGGGAGTTGATAGAGAGGAGAGCAAAGCCTTCATTTTGGGGGCAATGCACTAAATTCTTAAATTGGCTCAAGCCATAACATATTTACCTCCAAAGTTCTTCCATGTATTTCTCCAGTCGCACTATTAGTTGGAAAAAGACGGGATGAGAGGAATTGCAAGTATGCAAGGTACTCAGCCGCTTAGAGAATGAGTCCAGTAAACCCATCTTTGTTCGATAGAACAAGGAATCAACTGACCTCAGACCTTTCTTCTGGCACTAACTGTGACCTATAATCTGGAAGCATAGAGCTACTGCCAAAGTTCGGATGGGAACCAAAGAAATAATGAACTTTATGGGCATGAATCATGTCTGTTAACACCTGTATTGTGCGGGATGCTGCAGCAAATGATACCATTGTACGTAACTGGTGGAAAAATAACACTAGCTAACAGTTAATGTTTGTGGGTTTTTTTTTAAAAAAAAAAACCCAAACCACCAAAATTGATGTTCTATTAAGCTCTGGTTTTGCCCATGGCTGTTACATAAAAGCTGCAAATGTAATTGCTACAAGCTGTTTATTTAGTGTCTGCTGGATTGTTTATTTGAAAATAATTTTTATAATAAATATCTAGCATGACATACTGTTAGAATTTTTCCAGAACTTCAAGTCCTTTGTGTTCTTCACTGTTGTGTTATCTTTGTCATGTCAGGCTTTAGAACATTTAGTGTTATTGGCTTTGCATAATAGAGCCTTTGTTTTGCCCTCAACAGAACTATTTTTACCTTGTTTGTGACTACTAGGCTAGTAAGAATAGCTTCCTGCATTTTGTAGTCTGCCTTCATCCAAAATGAGAGTAAGGAGAATAGCACTGAAGTGAAAATAACTTTGCGTTTGCTTAGATTATTCAAAGCTTAACATCGCAATGAAACACAGAAAAAAGAATTGGTTGTAAAACCGACAGCATTAACTGTAATGAGAAGAGGTCCGTTTAAAGGAATAGAAAGGAGTAGGACTTGGGAGAGACTAAAACATGTAGGGGGAGACATCACAACATCCTCTGAGAGTGGTAGCAGTGACTTTCTTCTTCGTTCTTAAAACTTTACTGACACCCCAAACCGCAATAAATAGGGCAATGTTCATAAAAGTGATTCTACCCTATACATCCTGTGTTGGGTCAGTTGGCAGAGCATCCCTGTTTCCTCCTACAAATTCTGGGACTTCTTAGCACATCACATCAGTGCAGGCTAATGTTAATAGCTGCAGATGGCTCCATTCTGTGAGCTTGGGGCACGTAATTTTATTTCAGGACACAGTATGTACAGGTATAAGTTAGAAAAAAGTAGGCAATTATAAATTCTTTATAGCCATCTATATCAAAGACTAGACCCAAGTACATCACCAAGATTTCCTTGTTTCAAATGCTGTTGAAGTATTATGAACTCGGGAGTCAGGAAGACCTGAAACTAAGAAGCTTTTTCAAGTTTTGTTTAAAGTGACTGGCAGAGTGCCAAGGTTTGGTATAATGCTATTTAGATATTTTTCTACAGTTTGTTAAAGCTCTTCTATGCTGTATGTTCTAAGCTTTTTTTTTTTTTTTTATGAAAGCTAACATTCAGATTATTTGTGCTAAGAAAATCTTCACTGCAAAAAGGGGACATGGATGCCCTCCACAAAAGGAGTATGATTTTTATTTAGAAAGGGGGTAGGGGCAGAAATACTACTTTATGGTAAAGGATAAGAAGATTTCTGTAATGTGAATTTAGCTAATGTTATACCTGGTCTGCAGTACTTGAAATAGATGAAATGCTGCTGTGAGGGGAAGTACCCAGAGAACGGTTTGCAGCTTCTGGCACTTCTAGAAAGAAGAAAGAATAACATGTATAAGTTTTCAAAGTATGTTTGTTATGCTGTAAGAAATTGATTTGTTACAAGGACTTTGAAAGATCTGGAAATGCTTGACCTTTGGTATTACTCAGGAAAGCTATCTACTGCAAATGGATGAGCCCTATATAAATGCCTGGGACGGTTGCCTGCTCAAAAGAGAAGCCTTGCTTAGAAAGACAGAAGCAGTTCCGTTAACAATTTGGTTAATAGCCAAAGCTAGATTTAAAATGCAAGAAAAAGACCCTACCACCACCTATGTGAATCAATGTAGCAACAGATAAAGAAAATGCAGGAACACGATGCAAAAAGCACTCAGTCCAGTGTGAGCAGCAGTCATACGGGTGAGGGAGTTGGGAAGACAAATGTAACTCAGATCGTTTTTCACTAATTAGTCCAACTGAAATGTTTGCATATGTTTGCAAGAAGCTAAATAGAGAAGCAGGATTAGTAGGAAAGATTATGAAACTTAATTACAATTGTAATAACAAAGCATAGTAGAAAATAGCTATTAGGGCTGAAAAAACATGTTAAAGAGTTTAAGAAATTAGAAGGGAAACGATTAAGTAGTGTTGCATAGTAATGATATGGAAATACAGCAAATAAGTATAGATAATTGTTTTCTGGTAAAACAATCTCTTAAAGATAGCATAGGCGTCTGCTATAGGTATTTGTGATCAGAGTTGGGTACAGATTGGTATCATTATACTAGAGAAGATGACTGTAGGAAGTTGAGTGTTTCTTCTTCTGTTATGGGAGGTTTTATTTCCTGTTTAATTATCGGGGAAAAAAATGTTACTCACCTATTCCTGGACATGATACTTTGCAGACTGCTTTATCAATTCTGCACTAATATAATTCTAGTTTAGCTTTTGGTTTCAGGAAGTGAGATGAATGGTATAGAGCAGGTCATACAGTGACTCAGGATGAAAAAAATTCAGTTTTACTGGAAAGCTCAGAGACATCTGCATTAAGTAGGTTTAGAACTTCTGTTGTAGTTAAGATGCAACTGTCTAGAAGCTGCATTCCAAGTACAGGGCAGACATCCTAAGGAGCAGTTCCAGCTCTCAATGAATGAAGCCAAAGAACGCTATTCAATATTAAGAATTTTGTTTTTTCTGTCAAATTTTGACTGACCAGCTGCGAAAGCTACAGCTGAAAAGTACTTTGTATGAATAAAGTTAGATTGCCAGAAGTCAGGCTGAATTAAGCTTTACAAAAGGAAATTAAAGTAAGTAATAAGAGATTTCTTAGCTGTGTAAAAAAGAAAGAAACAGGGCTGTCTGCAGTAAGAATTCTGTTGAATTTAAAGATAATCTATGTACTAAACTAGTGGTAGTTCTGGTACAGAAATGGAAATTTCCACAACCAAATTGGAAGCAAAACTCAAATAGCTTAGTACAATTGAACTGGTGGACCCAGATAATCTCTATCCCAGAAATTTTAAAAACTGGCACATGAAATTACAGGGCTGGTAACAATTATTTTAAATAAATTTCAAGTCAGGGTGGTACCAGATAATTAAAGAATATCAAACGTAATCGCTATACTTAAAGTGGAAAAAGTGACCTAAGCAACTACAGAACATGGTACTGTACTTACTCTGGACTTCAGTAGGGCATTTGATACTGTGCCATAATGGGAAATTAGCACTTCTTATGAAGAAGATGAAAGTTAGCACTAGGCTTGTATGGTGACAAGGAAGAGATGGCAGATTATGCTGAAGGGACATTAGTGATTGGGACCAATTGTATCTGTGATTAAGTTGTTACTGGGCCTGGCGCAGAATAAGACTGTATTACAGAAAGTTTACTAATCAGAGCATCATTTTTGTACCAGATGACCTCAAGGAATAGTTACACTTTAGGGATTAGGAAGGATTTATGATACCAGTTGGAGCACTTTGGTTGTGCAACAGGAGCAGACAAACTTAAGAGCATCAGTCTCTTGTATGAATATGAACCATTATTATACTTCCACAGCATAGGAGATGTATTTGCAACACACATCAAGCAAACATTTCCAGGAAATACAGAGAGGTACTAATAACAGAAAAAAGTTTAAGCTAAACAACATGCAGATTTCTATGTGCAATTCTCATAATCCATTTACAGTATGAAAGATAAGTTCAGATATTTAAATATGTGCAGAAAAGGGCTTGTAGGAAGGTCAAACACATGTCTGCTAACAAGAGACTAGAAAAATGTTAGATCTATTTCACACTCTTCTGTGCAAAGAGAGTTCACATACATATTATTACCTAATTTGTTTTTAGCTGTGAACTGAAACAAAGTCTCTCTTTGAAAGTATTACTTACAGAAGAGCTTTAGCATTTGCCATTATAAAAATATAAATTCTAAAAATTATAAAAATTCTTTTTTTTTTTTTTTTGCTCCAAAGTAGAGAGAGAATAAATTGCTGGATGCAATAATAATCTGTCTGGCTTCTAGGCAACAGAAGCCTGGAACAGCCCAGAAATGGCAAGGAAGACTGAAGGAATCTTTATTGTGCTGGGAAATGACCCAAACTGCCTTTGGTAGAAATTTCCAATTTCCATTGATTTATACATTAACCCTGACATACTTACTTAATTTTACTAGCTGAGCTAAGCCCCTGGCTACTTGATCTCCTCTTTGTGTGCGTTAGAGACAAACGTTAATTCTAAACTAATGAATATGCATTGCGTCTTGAAATAATCTTAATTCAAAGATTAATTTGAAATTACAAATTGATCACATTTTAGTTCAAAATCTGAATTATACTTACTTGGCAGCATTGAGGACTTTTGGAGCAAAGGCCTGAAATAAATATCAAGAGATTACAGAAAGGTCTGAGGAGATCTACTCAGTTCTGAAAATATTAAAACTGTGTATTTGAAGCATGCAGTGGTAGAATGTCTTCCATCCCACCCATTTGTCCATTAAGGGCCAAATACAGGTATTTAAAAAAAATCATATCCCATTACCACTGACAATTAGGAATTTAAACATCTGGTTTAAATCTGTGTCACCTAATTAGAAATTATATCCTCCCAGGCTTTTTGGTGGTGGATACAGTATTTGGATGCATTTGCCATATTTTATTTTTTGCTACTGTGAGGCTTCAAGAAACAAGACTTTCAGAAAGCCACAGAGAAAACAGTGCTTCCCTTTGAACTTCTCACAGCTGTGTTCAGACAGAACAGTAGGAACTGGTGTATTGAAATATTCAAAAGATGATGAAAAGAGATTTTACTTTTGGACACCACTTGGAAGGGGTGGAAGCGAAAGCTCTTGGCTGGAACCTCGTCGTCCTGCTGCTGTAGGTTTTTCTGTAGTTTGGGAAAACAAATTATAGAGTCAAGATTTCTTCAGAAATACGCTGTCCCAGATAAGAGAGTCCCAGTAGTTGTAGGAAGGTTACTTTTACTGTTATAACTTTCAGGGTTTTTCCTTACATGGCAGCTTGCCATCCTGCTGCTTTCTTTATTGCCTAGTGGCATACCACCAAATTTCCAGACAAATAGCTGTGCTGTGAATCCCTGCAGGAGCTCAGTGGGAGACTTGCCTTCCGAGAGGTGAGCTGTGAGACGCAGGGCAGGACGCTGGGGCAGGCTGCCTACCAGAGCTCAGCTGAGAGGTGCATCTGGCTGGCTGCATCCCACCCTCGCGTTAGGCAGCAGCTCCTGCTGAGTTTCTGCCTGGAGCAGCTGTGCCTTGCGCAGAGGCGAGACGCGTTTTCCGCCTGCGCGAGGGACTGGCTCTTGCCAGGAGTCGGCTCTGCGGGAGGTGGTTCTGGCTGAGTTCGGAATGATGCGCTGGCACTTTGCCTCCCTTCCCCCTTCTCCACTTTGAGGACTATATGGCATGTTGCTGGTCCATTATGCCATGTGTTACCCTGCCAGTAACCTCAATAGTTTTACTGTGATTGCTTGTAGAGAACAATGATATTCAGAGCAACCAAGGCTGGCCAGATCCAGTTCGAAACTGCTACAACCAAACCTCCCTCAAGAACATAGAATAAATTCAGTGTGTTTGTTTCGTGTTTTTTAATAAAAAGAAAATTAAATTCTGATAAATGTCAACTTTTTCACAGTAGTGGAGATAAATTTACCTTCATTTGCAGTTAAGGTCTCTCTGGAAGGTAAACATGGTTTCTGCAATAGAACAGAAGGAAAGCAAATATTAAATGGCATGTCACTTGTACAGAAAACGTTTATCTTTTTATATTTTTTTGTGAAGTAGTTTACATTTAGAAGTGACAGCATCCTGGAGGGATTAGGAGCTAGGGACGTGGTCATTCTGTGGAGAGCCTCTAATTGTATGACCTTGAAGCTTGGGATTTTGCAAAGCAGATTTGGAAAGAATCCCAGTTTGTGTGTATAAATAGACGGACAAAAGTAAAATCTAGAGATGCGTGCTCTTTTTTTTTTTTTAAATTCCAATCAATAAGTTTATGGTGTAAAAAATGATTTCTTCTTATCTCAAGTCCAAAACCAAAGATTTCATCCTAAATACTTAAGAATCAAAATTTCAATGTTTTCGTCTTCGTCAAGCTATGCTCAACAAATGTCTGAACTCATTTCTTTACTGAAAGTTTAACTGTCAGTTTGGCTCACAGTAAAAACTGACACAACATTCCAGTTTTAATTATTTTTTCATTTTGAAACGATAATAAACTGTCAGTTTCAAAACATTTTTCAAATTAATGTCTTTGAAAATTTCAACCAGTTCTCTCACTTTCTGCCACAAAAGGTTTTTGGGATATTTTTCTAATGATGAAATACTTAATAAAAAACCTCTGACAAATTCTGAAAGAAGTCTCCCTTGAGCTATCACTCTTACAACAAATCCATGTTCTCCATGTGCATCCCTGTATATTTCAGGGAATACTTCCGAATGGCCTGTGTTCTCATTTACTTCTCATTTTATTCAGTTCTTGCACTGTGTTTATTGTTACATCCTAAAGTACTGAATCCAAACATCCTTTTAATCAAAACATTTTTCTACTTTTCTTTCTCAGCTTTCTCACCACTGCCTAGTTCATATAACTGCACTCAAATATCTCCTTTCTCTATCTCTTTCCTCTGTTCTTTTTATGCATTTATGTTGTACCCAAACTCATGATAAAATTAAGTTTCACAATAAATTAAAAATCACCTGTAAAATTATTGTTTGATTATGCAATTACAAGTCAACTTACTGGTGAATTTACTGCATTAGAAGTTTTCTTTCTGCAGATTGAAGGAAAAGGAAAAAAGAATATGGTTACTTAGCAGATATGTGAATTCATTTAGCAACTAAGTATCAAGTTCATTGATTCCCAAGATGTTTCTGGCCAAGATGGGATGCATCTTGTTATTGGATAGCTGTAGTAGTTAGGAAAAAAAAAAATAAAAAAAGAATACGGGTATCACATGTAATGTGGGTTTTCAGGAAAGGTACTTATGATATGCAAGGAAGCTACACCCTGTCCAATGCTTAAGATGATAATTTGGGTTGGCCAGAAGCATGTTAATGAAAAACACAACTTTCTGCATTTATAAGCCTGCACATGCTATTGTGCAGTATGTGACTAAATTAAGCATGGCAGCCAGCATTTGCCATCAATATCAGGCACTGAAGGGCAGTGGCACAGGCATGCAAGCAGTAGTCCTCCAGAAATAACAAAAGAATAGCTTCCCTTTACCTAGTCAGGATATCTTTCACGAACAGCAATAAAAATTACTCCTGAATTCTGATTGCCATAGGCAGGGATAGGAGTTAGCTCCTAATACACCTAGTAATTAACCCCAACCCTATCAAAGCAGTAGTTTTATTATTTTTTACTCACAGGCCCCTTGGTAGCGGAGATGGAGCTGCTCCAGTGGGAAACCTGGATTCTTGTGTGCTACTGAGGCTATGATCTAGAGATGCAAACAACATATTTAGTATGCAATATTGGCTGTATGAGCAGAGGGTTTTCCTCACTGCCATTTCAATGTTAATGTAACAAAAGTAAAAAAATATCCATTGGTTTAATTTTTGTCTTGACATGTTTTTCACTCTGATTATACTAGAAAACAGTTCAGTACCATTTCTTGCTTATTGCAAGAAAAATTACAGATAAAATTTACACTGACACACTCCACTACATGCTATATTAAGGTCACCAGGGACATATTGACAACAAATTCCACTCATATTGCCATGTTTTCAGTACAGAATACTTACTTTCATCATTATTGTTTGCTTCATGGTCCTGTAATGGAAAAATGTTACATTTGATGAGAAGCAATTAAAAAAGAAATTATTATTAAATAGGAAGTGCATAAATAAATAATCTGGTTTTGACAATCTGTAGTAATGTTTAAAGAAATATTTGTACAAAATGCATATAATATCCAGGACACTTTTCATCAGCTTTTATTACAGCATTTGAAAAATTTTAGCAAACATCAATCTAATTTTAAACATTCTAATAACCTTGAGATTGCTTGCTGTATTGAGAAAATTTGCCCTGAATTTTACAGCAAGACCTTTGGTTCATGTTTCATTTCTGAGCTGGAAAGCAGCAATTTTGCGGCAGATTTGAATATATTAAGAACACATTTTCCACTGGACGGAGGATACTGAATAGATCATCTTTCCCAGCTTTTTTTGGAGACACTTTCTTTTGGCTCCCACTTCTTGTCTTTTAGGGAATCAGACTTTCATATGATAAGTACCTTTCAAAGAAGCACTAGTTATCAATTTGTCCATCTCCATCCACCAGACTAATGATTTTTCACTAATGTTGGTTACAAATGCATCCGTTCTCTGTTTGGAGAGGTGTAATCCATCATCCAACAGTTGAGGGAGTGAGATATGGAGAAATTTTTCTCCCAGTCAGCCCACGCCTCTGAGAGGAACAAGGGTTACAGCTCTTAACATGATGATCAGTGCTGGTTAGTGTTTGGACTACGCTGGGTAATTCTTTCCTAGGCTGACTCTTGTGCCAAGCTGGGTAACTGCAAGTACCCAGGAAGCTGAATACAATCATAGTACAGATGAGTGTTTGGGAGCTCCATCCCTGGTGCTGTAACTAACTCGGTGTGTGGCCCCAGCAAAACGATAGTCTATCTTGATTCTCTGCAAAGCTAGGATGATATCCATCTCAGGGGTAAGCTCTGAGAAAGAATTAATGGAGAGGTATCAGCTGCAATGTAGCACTTAAGTATGTTCTGAAGCAGGAATATTCTTGTTAGTGCTGATCAGAGAGGGGAATTTCTGTCCAGCATTCTCCCTTCTGAAGGACTTATTTTTCTGATCTTATATTGGTAAGAAAAGCTGAGAAATCAAACCATTTCATAAAAGAGAATTCCTGGATTTGACACCACTTGGGAATTCTTCAGCATCCTGCAGGATACAGATCTAAATTAGATGGAAGTTGTGATGAGGTAGAAGGGAAACTAAAATACTGCTGCTGTTATACATGCAAATCCCCACCTCCCCCCAAAATACTTGGAGTAACTAGAAATTTAAGGATTGAAAGCAAGACTGTAAGATGTCCTTATACCACCTGCATTATGTTACTGTAGCATCTAATGCTATGGTATGACCCCAGACTCCTAATTTTAAATGTCTGATTTCTCTATGTAGTTATTGGTAGACTGAATATTTCTTAAGGACGATTCAGAGCACTGGGCTAGGACAGAGTTTGATGCACATCTTTTGGCACAGATGCTGATGCAGTTATTGTCACCTTGGTTCTTGGTAGTTTGCTCCTCGTGCACACCCTCTTTTGTGCTCGCACAACTGTTAGCAGAGCTATGGTGTAGAACAATTTAGGGAACTCATCTGGCTGAAAAAGAACCTTTTATGCATTTGCTTTTGCCCATTTGCTGCAGTTAGACATGTTTCCAAGTAGTTTGCTTCAGAAAACCTTTGTTCCAGCACAGTGGAAGGGACAGACCAACAGAGGACAAGAGTAGAGGAAGAAGAGGAATGACTTAAACATAGCCTTAGGAACCCAAAGCTTGTAATTACTCCTTCATGGACTACATTTTTTAGTGATACTGGTTACTCAGACTACCCAGTCTGACATTTTAGAAGGATTCCATTTTCAGATATTATTAATCATTCATCATCTGATAGCAATGAGGCTCAAGGAAGGTGCTTCAGACTAGGTAAAAATCACCCATTGCTACTGAAAGTAATGTTCCTGGAGTTCAACTGGTATTTTTTTCGTAGAAGAAATTGTTTGTGTGGACTGAGACATATATCTCTGAAAACATTTCAAGTTTTTCTTGGATCGATACAGATGGCGAATGTACCTCTTTTGTCCAAAATATTAATAGCCACAACTACAATATTAGATCAATCTGATATTCAGTCATCTGTTTCTGTTATTTAATCTAGATAATAAAAACCATCCATCCATCCATCTCCATGTACATACATAAAACACAGAACAGCCTAAGTCTAACACATTCTTTTATAGTGGCACATTAATTACTCACTGCTTTTGGATGAAGACGATTTCTGGGAAGAGGCAAGATATTTCTGGAAAATATACACAAGGAGATTAGTAGGATTTACTTATTTAATTGCTTGGCTAAGATGAGAGAGGAGGAGGTCTGCAGTAAATGGATTTGGTTGCAGCTATGCACCGCTGCAGTGGTTGTGGTGATGCTTTGCTGTTAGTGTGGACCTCTTCCAGAAAAGCCTCTGTCCTGGACCTCGGGTCCCCTGCAACTGTGTACAGGACCTCACCAAACACCGCAACACACACCATGTTGTGGATGCCACCTGCTCTTCCTGAGGCATATGGCCTATTTTGCAGAGCAATGTCCTAGAGATGAGACAGTGGTTACAAAGAAGTTTCCTACGCTTCTGGGGACAAGAGTGAAATAGGCTGCATAGTGTAGTTCCCTTTGCCTTCTTTTTCTCCAGAGGCCTGGAATATAAATTATGGATTTACTGTGGCTAGCTTCTTTACAAGCAATCCTGCATGCTGTCCCCTGCAAAAAATATCTCATTTGCAAGGGTGTAGAGGTAGGTACAGGACTTTAAACTGGCTTTCAGAGATGTTTTACCCCTGCACAGGATCTCTAAAGGGATATTCAAGAAAATAGTATCCACTTGGCAAATTGGCTAGAATAGAGAAGTTTGTAAGGAAATGAGACCTTTCAATTCCTATCTTGTCCCACAATCTGTAGCTATTTATGTGTCCTGACAATTGCTTATTATCTGAGGGCTACACTACAGAGAGAAGAAAATTTTCTATTTGCTATTGATATAAGCTGCTGTTGACTTACCTGGAAGTATCCAGTTTAGGTGACTCTCTAGTCATGCTGTGCACATGCAAGTGCTCTGTGTTCTGAGAGCATACAGACGGAAGTGGCTTAGTGAACCTAGTAATAAAACATGAATTAAGAATGGAAAACTATATTTAATGACAGTGCATGCAAAGAAAACCTCTCTTTCTCCTCCCCTACTCCTTCAAAATTCTAAAAAGTACCCTTAGGAGGCATTTCTTTTTAACATGTATTATGCTTGGGTTATTGAAAGTAACATAGAATTGGATGCCAATTTTTGTGTAGACAATCTAAAGAGAGAATTACTATATGTATATCTTCTAGAGAAAGAATTATTAAACATATAGTATCTAGATGAGAAAATGTATTTTCTGACAAGTTTTAAATAATACACACACATTCATAGTAATGGATTACCTGTTTACCAGTGGTGGTGATGGCTTTTCCTGTAAGAGAAAGTGCACTAAACTATTGGGTCACATTTTGATTTAATAAAATACACTTATATGGTCCTATTTATGTTATCACAGCAATATCTTATTTTTAGATTTCTAGTAGAACTCTGCCTGGTAATCTGTACTATGATAGGAGAGGCGAGAAGTCACCACCAGTAAACCTGTGAAACTTTGAGTACACTGCTTTGGCTGTATGTCATGTCAGTACCAGCAAGTAGAAAGAAAATTACTGTGTAAGAACTGTCATTGCTCCTTTGCTGCAGTTCTGCTTCTAGAAAGCATTCCTTTAGGCTGCTGCTTCCCATACCAGACCACTATCACATAGGACCAGGATATTCTTCCCTTCCCATTTATTCTGTTCTGCAGACCTTTTGAATTGGTTTGCTAGCTTTTCTGTGAAGGAAGTGTCAGAAAGCTTTCAGTGCAGGCAGAGATTTGTTCCCATTTTTCCCCTTTGAAAGACTGATCATCTTTTTTTTCACAATCACATTTATTCCCTGTCTGAGGGCAACATGAGTCAAACTACAGAAAGTCCTTACCTCTTCTTCAGGAACCTCGTAGACTTCTATAGAACAAGGAGGAAAAAAACGTGTTCTTTGGTTAGCAAAAACATACTACATGTTACCAGAAAAACAGATCAGAATTTCTATCGATTGTGCTTCTGCCTCTGGAAAAGCAACTGAGAAGTTGCTCAGAGCTTGATTCTGCCTCCAAAACCCTGGAGTAGCTACACCCCTGGTCTTCTAGTGAAAACTTCAGGAAAAGTCCCAGCAAGTTTGATAAACAGTCACCGTATTAACGGACTTGCCCTCCACCTCACAAGCTTTTTTTAATTATTATTTTTTCTTTTTTTTTTTTCCCCTCTAAAGCAATATGAATGCTTGCGTTGTGTAAACCTGGGACAATTTGGAAAAGATGTGTTGTCATACCTGTGATAGCATTTAGCCTTTCTTTGACTCTGGGAGGAGAGATCAGGCGAATCATAAATACAAGCTGGCTCATTTGCATGGCCAGCATCCATACCTGACCTCTGTCCCATAGCTGTATTCTAATTCACAGATACTAAAAGCCAAAACCACCAGCATCCTTATCTACGTCCAGTTTCTTTAATGAAAACTGAATTATATTTCAACAAATTTCGTGTCAGGATTCCTTACTTTCATTGCACTGAAAAAAGTCCGAGTTCCCACCAGGGGGAGATGTTTTATATTTTTAGTAACATCTGTCTAGAGCTGGTTGTTGCTCGACACTGATTTACAGAAAGGCTGAGACTGAAAAGGGCATTTTAAAATGTCTGAAAAGTAACTCACAAAATCTTAAGTCATTCAGAAAAAAAACTTCTGTAGTTTATGACTTGAAAGCTAAACACGTTGCTAATGAATATGCAAAGACTTTTAAAGAACTGTGTGATCAGTCAGTAAAGGTACAATCCAAGCAATTAATGACATGACGATGATGCAGAACAACTCTGAGTTCGCACAGCTAAGAAAGACTAAGCAAGTATCTGCACTTACAAAAGCAAATATAATTCCTCTTATTTACGTCTGCTTTTGTTTATTTTTTCCAAATAAATTGTTCTTTATAGAACGTAAACAAGAACACTGTTATTAAAGAGCATGTAAAACATCAGCCTATATAAAGTTTCTTTAAGGTTGAATCGTGATGTGGTTTTTAAGTATTGAGTCTTGATTCCTACAGTGAAATGAGATTACTGACATACTGAGTCCTATAATCAAAAAAATCCTTTTCGCTGTATCGATCCATTTGTGTTCCTCTGCTAGAGCAAAAGACTAAACATAATTAGTTTGAGGCAAATCACTTGTTCTAGTTTTATTCATGCTTAAAACAGATTTACTACTCAACCTAGCCAAAACAACTGCTACAACACAGAAAAACCTAGAGAGGGACATATTTTTGTTTTACTGAAGTATGTCATATGGTTTGTGTTGTGAATACATCAAGTGTAATTTAATATTCCTCAGTCTTAGATTATTTTATTTTAACAGTGATACAAACTCCACATACCTTGCACATCAGAAGATAGAGAAGGCTTTGGAGAAGTAGGGGGGGCTGACTTTGTTGTCTTCATAAATCTGTTCACAGGAGCTAAAAACATTTTATTCATATACATATACACTTGTGCACGTGTGTGTATATACATATGTATATTTACATATATACACATACATATGTATTAAAAAACTAACAATGTAGCATTTGTATATTAAGAATAAATATTCAGTATGTCCAAGCAATAGCCTTTTTGTGTGACCTTGAACAAATCAACCAAGGCAGAAAGCAGCTCTCATTTTAAAAGGGAAACATTATTCAGTGTTCATGCCTTGCTGAATAGGTTTGATACTGTCAGTAACATCAGAGAGCAGAACTACATACTCTTCTGTTTACTTTTCACCTTTGGACTGTGGTAATTTCAGTCTCCAGCTAAATATATTTCAAATAGTGAGGTTAAAAAAAAAAATAAAAAAATCAAAGTCTGTCTCTATCTACTGAAAATATAAAAAGGCTTGTTCTTCTCCTGAGGCACTTCAGCAAACAGAGAATTTTAATGCTGTGGCTCCCTTGGATGAGAAACAAGACAATATACCATGAAAGGCTTCCTGGTTGTATGAGGGCTGAACTTTGAAACAACTGAGTGAGAGAGGCAGGAAATAAACATGGCTTCCAATAAAGTTAAATATAATTTTCCTTGGCCTTGTCATGGGCCAAAGGAGTCAACTGAATTTTGCAGGCGGCGTTCTCTAATAGTTACATCTCCACTCTTTGAACCCTAGAAACAGATGTTAGTTTGATCCCTTTTTTCCCCACTGTTGTTCCTAACAAGACAATAATTATTAGCTTAAATGACTAAAACTCACATCTTGTAGGTAGTGACATGTTGCTTTCTGTGGGTTCAATATAGTTATCGTCGTCATTGTCCACTGGCACAATGTAATTATCCTATGAGAAATGCAGGACAAAAATCTGCCAGTTAAACCTCCATCATATCAACAAACTGTTAGGACTGAAGCCCTGGCAGCAGGGCTTTTAGTCCCCAAGACTAAAAGCCCTTTATCAAATTACTCCAGTTCTAACTGGTGGATAAAAGCCCTCCCTTCCCGTTGGTCCTGGGATAGCCTTTGAGGTTGCTTTCTCCCCATTGCCTGCAGGTTGTTACAGATGAGCAGGAACTATTCCATGGTCTAAAGAGTATCCTTGATACTTGGAGTAGGTAGATAGCCACTAGGAATCAACACGGTAACTCACAGGGTGCTGCTCGTGACGTACAAAATGATTTGTACCAGAGAGGTCAATAAAGAGGTCAGGCCATGGCATTACTGAGTAGTCTATCTTACGCTTGGTGCAGGGTCATCAGTCATTTAAACTGTCAAAACAAGTGTATCCATGAACATTACCTCATCATCACTACACTCCTTAGGCTTGGGTGGTACTTTTGGTTTTGCAGCAGGAGATGGCAAAGGCAGGGATGGCACAGATGGTTTCTTCGGTCTGGACATGGCTTGACTGGGTGTGCTTGGGAGAGGTTTGTTGATGGGAGGAAGCTGCTGGTGACTTGTGCGATTGTCTTAATATGGAAGAAAACAACAGTTTTAGTAAAAACTAGACATTAGCCTCTGGATCATCTTCTACTACTTGTGCAAACAAATCTTTACTGTTGCTGCAGCTCAGGTCAAACGGCAGACCTGAGTGCATGCTGGTCCTGATGTTGAGACTTGTGTATGTACTGGTCCTATTTCATCGCTCAAGGCAGCAACTTAGTCCTCTGTATCAGGCTGCAAAGGGTGCTTAGACACTGACTGTTGTATGGATAACTGTTTAACTCCTTGGGAAAAATGTGTTGTCTAGGTCCTGTAGTCCATTAGGTAGTATGTCCTGTGCCAGTATTAATTTTGGTCATAGGAAGGGAGAAAACATATCTGACACACAAGAAAAACAGCTGTTAAGCACAAAGCGTGGGACTGAAACACAAATTACGCCAGGTCCTCTGGGGTGTCATTTTAAAAATTCCTCTCCTTTTCAAAGAATACATAGGTGAAGTGCTGATAAACCTCTTTCTATGAGTACATATGTAGCATTTTAGCACTTTGATTATTCTATAACCAGTAAGTCCCGTAGCATACAAAAATGAAAGCAGGTATCATGCCAATGTTTGTTTTCCCTATGGCCCAAATCTCCATCTAACTGATGCTAACTTTCATTCTCTTCAGTGTGATCTGCCCATCACTGAGAAGCATCAAAAGAGGAAGAAAAAAATGCCTTTATGCTGGACTGATGTAAATAAAATATTGATCCTGACCTGCTTTTCAATGTATTTATCCTCCTCAGTATCAATCTTGATGGACAATATGGAGTGAATATTTGGGCTGCTTTGTTCTCTGTTTTACTGCTTTTGAAATAATGATTTGAGATACAGAAAAGACAAGGAACCTATCTAGCCTTACGTGCTTGATCTTCTATATAAATTCCTGCATTAAGTTATGCATATGAATCTGGAGCAAAGTTGGTGCTATCTCCCATACCTTTGCTTGAATTTTGTCGTTAGTAGATGTCTATCAAAGTCTCTAGGACACATATTAAAATTCTAAACACCGCTAGCAGCAATACTAACCTATTTCATGCTGTAATAACAAATCATATCCCTGAAAGCTGAAGACCTGATTTTCAGAATGAAAAGCAAACTCTTGAGGAAAGGACAGGTTAGTCCATTTGAGGCCACTTCTCTTCTGGTACCAATAGATAAGCAATTATCAAGCTGATACAGCCAACTATTCCACAGCTACCTGCATATTCACCCCTAGAAATAGGGAATGCAGAGGGAATCTTCTTTTTCTCCTGCTCACTTGGAGGTGGCTCATAGCTGTCATCAGGATTCTCTTCGCTGGGGACAACATACATCTCTGAGTCAGAGTGGTCATCCGGATTTTCATAATCACTGTCCTAGAAAGACAGAAGTTCCCATTTCTCATCTCATAACATACTTACAGCTTCATAGCAACATATGACACAAATATCCTTGCAGGAGTGCAATTAACTAAATCACAAGAGCGCATCCTTGAAAGACACATTACACTCCCTTTAGTGCTTCCTCTCTAAACAAATAGGCACTCCTGTCTGCTTCCCCTCTGCTCCTCCCAGGAGCTTCCTGCTTCCTATGTCCTTGCTATCTCCAAGGAGTCTTTTCACACCAAGAGCTCAGTCTTCAAATTACAGACCAACAGCTTGGTTCCCTTCACAGGACAGTTCCCTCCTGGTTCCATCTGTGACTCCTGATGTGTCCTGCCACTTCCTCTCCATTTCCTACTAAAAGAGTACTCAGGAGCTAACTCCTGAAGGAAACTAGTCACTTCAGGCTGATGGTTGTACAGTATGGCAATTATTTTACATGGCTGATGGCCATGGCTTTCTTCATTCTAATGTTCTCTAAAACCTTACCAGAAATTTTTCACATTTAGGAAGAAGTGGCTTTCCCCTCCTCATCTCTCCCACCCCCAAATAGAAGATCTTGTGGTTTCTGAAATTATTGTTCAGTTTGAAAAGTCCCTCAAATTGATGCCATATGCTTACTAATCCAAAAAGCTTAGCATCCATGGCTACCACTGACATTGCTTCTAAGTGTATTTCTAAGTTGAAAGTAAAAAAAATTGAGCTGGCTAAAAATCAGTGGCTACTTGTAAATAATGCTAATGTCACAAATAAGATAACACTTCAGTAGTATTAGGTTCAACCACAAGCAGATGATTTGAAAATAAACTTCTTATTGCTTGTGCTGAACTACATGCTACAGTGACATCCTACTACCCCAAAATATGTACTTACAAAATCATCTGACCATTGTTCCTCTTCATTGTCTGCATGTTCTAAACCAAACATTAGAGTTATTTAAGGAGAAAGAAGAGTGAACATAAATGTTTATCTTAAGTATAGATTGAAAAAAAAAAGTCTATCATATTCCATTTAAAAAAAAAAAAAAGAGCAGTCAAAATTTCCTAAACAGTTCAGAGCAACACATCTGGTTTAGATTGACTAGTAAGCTAAATGCCTGCTTGCTTGTTTTTAATAAGTTGTTTCAGAACTGTTGGAAAAGCATTAGAAAATGGCAAACTGCACATAGTCTGACAGCAGAGTGTGCACTTTACCCATAGTGTTCTGCTAATGCATCTCATTTTTAAGTAGGAGCAACAATTTCTACATAATGGAATTATCGCTGACCTCTGGTCCTTGGACTTTCTTGTTTCTTGGTTAAAGCTCTGAGACAGCACACTAATTACAAGTGTTTATGTTAAACACGGGACAATTATCTGACAACTTCTGAACTCTGTCCTCTTTGCTCCAGTTTTCATCTTTGTTTCCTTAACAAGATAGCTGTTAACTTGTAAAAATGGGCATGAACTAGTTTGTGGGCAGCGCTGTACGATAAGCAAACGTAGTTCTACCTTCAAGATGGTTTATGATGTCATCTTGTCACATTAATAGTATTAAGAGTCTGAATCTGTGATGATCCATTTGTTCATTTTTTTCCCCATTTACTTTCACATCACAGTTTCTGGCAGAGGGGGGCCACGTGTGAATTCTCCTCCGTTCAGTCTACCTGCAGAACCCTGGTAAGTACTGATTTTGAAAGAATAGCTACTTGCTACTCTTTTTTTCATGCTGGGACAACTTGCCATGTTTTGCTTGCCTCTGATTTCAGAGGTGTGAAATACCTTCAGAGTTGTTGATAATGTTATATTGTGTTCTCATTAAAAACAAATTACGAGGAAACGTATAGCTGAAATAGTATCACAGTACCTATAAGTGTATAGGTATCAAATATACGAACATGCAGTTTAAATTTCCATTAATACAGCCTTACCTGAAGCATAATCCCTTTGTGGCAGACTTGGTGGAGGTTTTTTTTTTAGCCTGTAAACAATAATTATTACATTTATGATCTTATAAGTAACATTCACTAGAACGGAACATTAGCTGCACACATAAAAAAGCTGATAACAAAAGATACCTGCAGCAGAAGAAATAAAGATTACCATCACAGATGCTTAGCAAATATCTGCAGGAGAATGCTTTGAAAAACTAGAAAGAGATAAGAGATTAGAATCTAATCTGAGATTTTTTTTTTTTTTTTTCCTGCTAAGAATATATTTTGAAAGAACAGCTTCCTTGCCCACCCACTCTCATTCCCAATGCAGAAACAGATAACATAGGGGTCAGAGATACATGCACATCCATCTGAAAACGAAAAATCTGTTCAGGCTCACAGAGACTTTGCTAAGACTGTGGCATAAAAAAAGTGTTGCGGCACTCTCCAGACATATTTTTATAACTATCATTTTGGGTACACTTTATTTTCTGATTACTGTTTAAATGCATACCAGGTCTCTCAGGGCCAGATTCTGTTTCCACTTACTTTTTTATGGTGTTATGTCCCTTTTTTTAGTAAATACTGTTATAACGGCATTTGTAATACCAAGTGAACCAAAAGGTAGTTTATAGAAATAGTGAAAGGATCTTTGTGGCTATACATATACATGCATGCATGTATATATTTAGCAAACAGGAGTATACATGTATGTAATATATGTGCATACACATATATATGTGTACTCCTGTTCATACATATATATGTAAATTTGTGTGTGTATATACACACACACCCGTTTGCTAAACTGCAGCTGTCCAGAGAAGACACTGAATTACAGCCAGTTGATAATATCAATTATTTCATTACCCTGTAAAAAAAGAGAAGAATTTGGGTTTAAAGTCAAAACAAATGGTGCATGTGTAACATCAGAGGCCAGACTGATGTACCTGAAGAGAAAAAAGACCCTTTTTGTAGCCATATAAAACATTAACACAATTTACATAAAAATGACTCTTCAAAGTGACTTTTGAACATTGTCTGACAGCTTCCCTGTAGCACTAATGGGACCTCACCACGGACCTGAATATGGTCCACTGAATTGATGGCTTCACTCATTCTTCAATCAAGCTCTAACAAATTCATTTGCCAAAATAAGCAAATTATTTACAAAATAATTGTCCACAAAGAGTTTAAAATGTTTTTCTTCTGAGTAATGGCAATGTCTGTCTACAAATTTTACTTTACCACAAGAATTTGACATTCAGTATTTAGGTCCTGAGCATGCTCAGGTGTCATTGTTCAGGTACTGATATAACTCAGGGTGGTGGCATGCTAGCACTAACACATCAATTTACACACTTTTCCCATCTGTTTTGAGAAATGCTTTGGCTACTTTTGAGTTGAATTCATGGAATTCTGTTGTTCAGATAGTCATGAAAAAAAAAAAAGGCCCATGCATGAATGAATGGATGATGCAGGCATCGCTAAAGGTCTAAAAAAAATAAAAATAAAAAAAACGCTAAACAAACATAAAAAAATATCAAACAAAAAAATCTAGGCACATTATTTTTGAAGTGTTTATCTGCTTTGTTCATTACTAACAACACTAATGATGGATAGCTGCCTCCTCCAAGTCTTTAACTTCCTACAGCATGAATATAACTTAATGTAGAAATAGTAAATCAAAAAAGCATTCTCAACTGCACTGCTGTTGTCTTCTGTCCAGGTTAGCACAGGCATGTTAGAAAGAAAAATCCAGGGCCACTGCCAGGGGAGATCTCGGGTCTTAGGGAGGGTAGACCAAAATCTATTAATGTTCTTCACAACGTGTCTATCATGAGTTGTTCAGAGACAGTGGAGACTTGGAAAATAGTGGATCTATGGCAATAGTAAGAGGCTAAGTCACAGTATAAAGTACATGGCTTAAGCCACATTATACATTTCCAAGCTGCTAAGCAAAAGACTTCAACACTTTGTCCCAGGCCCTGTAAATCCTGGCAGTGGCCCCGACAGAAAATGTAAATATGTTATAACATAAGCATATGAAGCACAGAACAGAAGTCTGTGTCTAAGCAACTATCATGCCATTGTGCAGCTCTGAAATAGCATACCTATCCCAAGTATCTTTCCCAGTTTTGCAAATTAAGGCCACTTGTTCATTTTGGAACCTGAATATCAATAAAAGAAAAGAAATAATGTTTCTTTTACAGCTGAAACAGTTGATGGCCACATCTATATTTGGTAGAATCTCTTCAAATATGTTATTTATTCTAAAATTCAAATCCACTTTAAAAAAAATAAAATTCTCATTGTACTGGTATGATTTACTGAGTGCCAGAACTGAAATCCAGGCTCTTTTGAACTCAATTGGAGCTTCAATTTGCAAGAGCAGAACTTTACCCAATGTGCAAACCACAATGCCAGCTCAAAAGACATAACTCCTATGCCATGGAGTAGTAACCTAGCTATTTCAGATTCTGATGTGATTATCCGCATAGATGCTTGCAGAGTGACAAGTGACTCTGTCCTTTTCCTCTGAACTTAATGAGAAAGGACTGAAAGAACCAAATACCATCCAACTGAGCATACATATTTAAGTGGAAGACAGAATGACTTCCTAATATGTCTTTTAACAGAGGTATATAAAATTATAGCACATGCAATTTCCAAGTAAAATATTCTAGTGCTACTCCACTCTGGACTTAAGTTACAGGTGTTGAAGTATCGCAGTGTTAGCTGTGATAGAACACAAATAATTCAAGTTTCCATTTACTTAATTGAGACAAGTATTTTTCTAAAATTTAATAGAAGAATGAGTAATTTTCTGGAGATTTTGAAATAACCCTGAGAAATTTCAGTTCTAAAGGACTCAATAAAATCCAAGTACATTTTTGAGAGTATGTTTACAAGTTTTAAAAGCAACATACCATATCTTAGTATATACTTTTAGCTTCAACAAATAACCAGGTAGCTTTTGAGACATTTCATATAATGGAGCCTAGAAGCTGCTCACAAGAGAACAGAATACAATGTACAGAAATTCACAATAACTTTTAGGACAATAAAATATTTCATTTTAAAAAAAACAATGTATTCTGAGATTTCCCCATCTATAGCATGCTTAGGTTGATCCAACAAAGCACTTAGACATGTGCTCAACTTTTGTCATGTAGGGAGTCCTATAGGAATTGCAAATATTAATCACATGCTTCGAGCTCATAGTACATTTTTGTGTTTTCTTGCGCTAAATGGAGAATTTTTTAACAAACTGCAGCAGAGGTCTGACTTTTCTGCTCTAGCAACACTTGTTTTTACAGGCTACACCCAGAAAAGTAACCAAATGTACATAGCAGTAGCTATGTAATTAAGTAGCACTTAATTCTCCTACAGATGCATTTCCTCACTAGTGTTTGTGCCCACTCTCTCAGCATTTAAGATGTGCCTAAAAACTCTTTGTATTCAAGAGTCTTTCCCTTTTTCTGTTGTAATTCCATACAAAGTCCACTGGCTTCTTAGGAATCATTTTAACTTAATAGGTTTTATAAAAATCATATTGACATCTTATACTGAGTTGAATGTTTATGTATTAGTTTTAAGTGCACTAGATCATCACACTTTTAATCATAAGAAAATTAATTTAACTTTGCTGAAAACTTTTTCAAGTGTTCTGAACAGGTGCAATCCAGCTGACAGATCCAGCTGTATTCTCATGACCTAGTGGAATACTTTGTTATAGCTTTGGAAGTATCTGGCTATTGTACAAAAAATTAATCTGAAACTTCTTTTTTTAAGTGTTATTACTCCTCTTTTGCACATTTTCTTTACGATGTGCTGTGGCAGTGAAATGGCATACAGTTGTGATTTATTAATATAACAATATTTCATCAAAGTAAAGATTAATAAAAATCCTGGCACTCAAAACATTCTATTCAGCTACATGTTGAAATTCATATTTCTTCAGAATACAGTTAAAATTGGGTATTATACTTTTCCCTGGTTTCTAAGTGTGGTACAGCTTGATTTTAGTACTTTTCTCTCATTGTTTAGCCCATAAAATGCAACTTTTCCATCTGTCAAGGGTTTTATCATGGATGTCTGCTAGTTACAGCTACTCAGGCTACAGAGAGAGGCTGTCATTTAGTGACACAGCTCCCATTTTTCTGCCTGAAGTTACCACCTAAGTTATAAACGGTATAGGAAAATGGACCAGACAAATCTGAAGTAAAAACTTACCCAACTAAAGAGCTTGGTAAAGCAGATGAGATGAAGATGCATTTTCTTTCAATTTTTCAGGTCACATGGCAAATGTGATTTCAAAAAAAATGCGAATATTTGGATTGTGTGCAGTTAGATGAACAAGTCCAAGTGCACGATTTCTGATGGCTTTGCAAAGGAAGCTTTGATAGGATGTGGTATCGCAACAAGGTGAGTAATTTGTAACTTGTAAAAGTAACTTGTAATTTCTTATTCAACGCAGTAGGTCAGCACACACCAAAAGTTGAGTGAAATCCTGACTTTGCTGTATGTGCAGTATGACTTTTAGCATTGACTTCACTGGAGTTAGGATTCCATTGAACAAAGCCTAGAGGCTCAAAGCTTGTGATTTACAGATGAGCGCTATGTCGTTACAGTGCGTTTCAAGCATAGGAGCCATCCTGCAGAGTGAAACCTATGATTTCTCTCTTACTTCCCTGTTCTATATTACCAAGGATGTAAATACGAAAAAACAGCCCCAACTCATTGTTTCTATAACTTCGGCTGTAACTATTGCTTCTACACCTGAGTACACAATCCTCTTTGACATCATGATCTGCTCAGTAGCGGGGACTCCAGTAAACAGTTTTGCATGTGATTAAGGGCAAGCAGGTGAATGGTAGCTTGCAGTGGGCAATATTTTTACTGTCAGAAAATTTTTAGTCGGGATGAGGAATAAACAGCACCAACTTTTAAGCAATGAAGAAACAATCTGTAGTTTTCTTTCATGTTATCACCACTGTTCAGATTGTTTTCCATAGACCTTTAAGACACATATGGATAGTAGATATATCCCTACTCACCTGCACATGAACTAGATTGGAGAGCAAGACACTTGATGCAAGAACTTCACTTACTTTTGTGCATACTCAAGAGACAATCCAGATTTTAGAAGTGTCTTTAATAAGTATTTGATCGTTTGATCAAATTCTAAATCTGTGTGACATAAAGCCAATTTTGTATACAATTTTTCCTGCTTCAGTCATGTTTACATCCTTGACGTTTAATAAAATAATCCTATAACAGAAATGGAGGAAGTGATAACTGAATGCCCATATTTCACCTGTGAGCAGGTCTCAGGTGAAACTATGAGTTTTTTTGCAGACAGATCTCTGAACATAGTGATCTATTTGCATACACACTGTTAAAAAACCAAAAATTCACTTAGATTAAATTAAAGATCCAAATAGTTGAAAGTGGGTCATTTTAAGGGAAAATTTGCTTTTGTGCTTGTGTGGAAATAACAAGTAAATACATCACGTGACTGATGTACTGTGAATTGCAGCAGTACTAGAGTGAAAGAGGATGAGTAAAGGAAAAAAGTCATCTCAAGAATCTATCTGATATATCAGATATCACCATCAGAGCCTGCTCAAGGTTTTTGGACAGAATCACAGCTGTGATAAAGAGGTGACAAAGGAGGGCTTGCAACCTCAGGTCACTACTTCTGCCTGGGGAATGGGTGAGCCAGGTGGTCGCTGCTGCTCCTGGAAGCGTATCCCCCTCCTCTGCCAGGAATAGCAGCTGCCCCACGAACACCAGCCCTGCCTGGGCTGGCAGCAGGGGCAGTAGCTGTAACCAGCCTGGCTTTCCAAAGCTCTTGCATAGCCAAACCAGGCAGAGCCCTACTGCTTCTCTCACCAGCCTACTGCCTGCTTCATACACACCTAAAATTAGCTCTTGCTAAAACTATACTTTTTCTTTTCCTGGAAATGAGCCATCATGGTCACTCTTTAAGAACAATTTTAAACAATGTTTATCTGTGCCTTTTATGTATGAGAGCTGTATTTCTAGAATTTAATATGATTGTCCTGGAAACACTGCAGATTCTGTGTACTAATTAGCTTTTAAAAGTACTTAGTACTTTTGTCATCAATGACCCATTAAAGAATGACATCTGAATGAGAAAATCACAACCAAAGAGAAGTTCAAAGCATATGAGCTATTGCATTAAGAAAAAGTGTGCTAAATAGTTAATTGGTTTAAATAGATGTTTGACTGGGAACAGTGAATGCTGTATTCATTTGACAAGGATGCAGAATTACTGGAATTTCTTTCTATGTATAAATACACATGAATATTTTATGATACTCATATGCGCATGACATCAATACACGTGCTGTTCAGCAGTTCTTACTAGAATAAGGATGTTAGGTAATGCTGGGTTTTGTTTTATAGGACTGTAACATGTGAGGACTTAGGATTTAGGATTTTTATGGGAATTCTAGCTGTAATGTCTGATCAGTTGGTTCAAGGTGGAGCTCAAATTAAAACTTAACTGCAGCAGGTAGCCTAAACAGTGACCTGAGGAGAAAGGCACACACCCAAACAAGTGATGATCATTCTCAAAGAATATGTAAGAAAAATACAAATACTGTTTTTCAGGGCTACAAACACAACCTCCCATTGGAGGCCAGTTCTGCAGCTACTTTGTGATACACTTAATACTGATGACAATTCTGCATGTCATAGTCTGGACTGAAGCTCTTTATATACACTGAAGTATATCCCTCTAGAATAACACAGTCCCATCACTAAAGTATTATACACTATGCTAGTAATCTCAACTTGCCCAAATTGATAAAACTAGGATTGGCATTTCAAACTTACTTTTTGAACTTGTTTATTATTCCACTTTCATTTTTCTTCATGTCATGCACCATCTTTTGAAGCTTCCTGTAAGGTATTAAACAAAGCTTGATTAAAATTGCTATGTGATTGAACACCCATTCATATAAATTAAGAAAAATACAGGAACTGCATTTCCAGTAATATTTCTCACATCAAAAATGCTTAAGGTACGTTCAATAAGTAGTTTAGTTGCAAAATCATTTGTGTACAAAGTTTCCCGCATTTTTTAACAAAGCTCTTCGGCATGATTTTTATTATCCTTCTCCTTAATACAATTAAGGCCAGTTTAAACAACTGATTTAAAAGCAAGTGCATCAGGAAAGAACATCATTGCCTAAATTAATGGTTCAGAATATTTCAGTGTTAACGTTTTGTTCAGAATTGACTTCATAACATTCCACAGCTATAATAGGAATGCTTTCTAGTTCCTGACCCTACATTAGTAATTTTATCAGTGGACAGTTCTCTGTCATTCTATGTTTTAGTCTTGCTTTACTTATATGTGATACATGATCAAGCTACCAAAGACTCTTGGAAGCTTTGCTTACAAAGACAAGTATAAACATCAAAGTATTCTTTCCCTTTTTTAAAGCTTTAAACTTGAAACCTTAATATGCACAAAGTTCAGTAATATAGAAAGCTTTGCCAAAAAACATCTTCCACCTTCATCATTAGTAATTGCAGCTGTCTCAAAAATTAAAATAACCTCTTCAAAGGAAATTGGAATTAGATGAGAATTAGCTAAACAAAAATCAGGAAATAATTGTACATTATGTGATTGTTTGTCTGCAGTCCGGGCTTCAGGCTGAGCTGACATGTAGCCACTCAAGTCATCATGTAGTGGTAGAGTATTAGATTTATGCCAAGAGGGATTTTCCTACATCTGCTACTGATTTTAGAGAAATTGTGGTAGTTAGTGACAATTAATCCCAGTGAGTACTTGTAAGTTTTCAGAATCCTGAAATAAATAACAAAGCTGAATTTTAGTCTTAATGTTTATTAACAGAATAGAAAAATCTCATCCTTTCATTATGTCAACTGTAATTGAAGGCTATTCCACATTTTTAGCAGCTCTGTAATACAACAACATGGACTATCCTGCTCTGACGAGCTAAGTCATGGGTCTGATACATAAAGAGTATTCCTAGAGCCTAAATCTTTGCCTAATTCTACTTAAAAAACAATTCAACGTATTCTTTTTAGGTTCTCAACTGAGCAAACAAAGAATCATGAGAATAACTGACAAATAATTGACAAGCACATCTTTAACTGTTGCTCAAAACTCATACTATTAATTTACAGTAAAAGGATATAGCGTTACCTGCTGATATAAAAAAAAAGAAAAATACTTATAGATGTGAGAAACAGATGCACAGCAAAATGTTTCAAGATTTCCTGCAACAATGCACTACATCTATGAGAATAGCTTGGATTATTATCTAAACTAGCTAGATACGTTAAAACTGCAAAGCTAGGGTAAAGATCTCAGAACTACTTCTGCTTTTGTGTGGGTGGTTCCCCCTCTCCCTCCCCTAATACATTCAGCTTCTGGTTATGCTTGAAACATCATAAATAGCCATCTTCTGCAGTTTACTGTTTCTGTCTTGTGCCCCAGCTGGCACCTGGCAGTGTCTATAAATGAAAAGTAATGAGGAATGAAAAGAATGAGAGGTGATTTAAATGGTTTAGTTCTAGTTTGGGGAGAATGGTTGTTCGCAAGCATTTTTGTCCTTTTCAAAAAGGCTTGCCAGCCTTTAATTAGAAATGCATGTAAGCATCAGTTTGTTAGAGATAGGAACCTCCAAAAAATTTTTTTTAAAAAAAATTCCACTGTAGATTTAGATCTGAATATTGCTTACTGCTAGTCTCTGACATGCATGTAGCTTTACATTGGTAAAATCATGCCTTTATTTTCAAAAAAGGTGTTCCATTTTTCACACGGATGATTTTATTTTATATTGTCACTTTGGTCTCTAAGTCCCCCTCCCTCTCAAAATAAAAACCACCCTAAAATTTGCAAATAGAGGTACCCAGCGCAGTTTGCTTTTCATTTGATCATATTTAGGTGAATTGATTAGATTATCACAGGTGTCCATGCGTGCTGAATAAGGCTATAGTTCAAGAGAGCATTTTAATACATATTTCAAAAAAAAGCATTTAGAGATAATCATATATGCCTCTACTAGTGTGATCAGTTATTTTTACCATGCAAATGGACTCAAATCAAAACATTCCAACTTTTGCATAATCAGATTTCCTAAAAATCTCTGCCTCTTTTAATCATCATTCTTTTTCTGGAGTCATTTCATTTTCTATTTACAAATTGTCATACATTACGGAATATCTAATATGTATTTGTGTGAATTTTTTCAATTTTTAAAGTTACATAGCTCTTGTAAGAGTTGCTAGAGTACTTAAGTTTGTTGCCTCTGGACAGCTTAACTTGTATCAAGCCTGTGAGTAAGTAGATAACCAGTGCATTGTATAGTGGTAAGTGCAGTAAGTCATCAAGCATGGATGATCTCCAGTTCAAGTGGAATCCCCTTTGACCCATGAAGTTGAACAAGCTGCAAAAACCAGTCTGTCCAGTTAGCTAGAGACAGAGATTTCTCAAGGTGCTCGTTAATACAATAGGCTACAACTGACAAGTTTTACAAAGAGCTGTCTCTCCGACTTGTGATTTTGCAGAGACAGTAGAAAAGATGAGGCAGATAGCAAGAGGATCCTCCAAACCTTAAGGGTCTCAAACCCAAACGCCATTCCAGAGCAATGAGGAAAGTTAAGCACAGGAGGGCATTTATACACTTAACATTTCGCCTGTATTTGCATATCTGACTAGTTCTCAAACACTTTTTGTCTGACTCTCAAATACTTTTCTTTATGTAAGACAATACACCAAGTAAAGAGGTTCATTGTGGGAGGAACTTAACAGAGCAGCAACCCTGAGAGTATCTAGGAAATGGAGGCTACCGTGGCCCAAAGTAGACAGCCTTTGCTTCAGGTCCATAACTACAACCTTCTTTATTCACAACACATCTGAGTCAGGACCTTGTTGCCAATTAATGTTTATTCCCTAGTCGTTCTCTTGGGATGAGCAGATACTAGAAACATTCAAAGACCTCAGTCAGCTAATACTGTAAATGAAAATAATAAGTACTGCTAGTTTTACCTTCCATTGTATGTAATCAAAGATAATTAAGAGATCAAACTTGAGTTGTTTCTTAACCGCAAGCACCAACTCTTCATTCAACTTGGTTGAGAACTTTTTGTGTCAAATCAGACTTGCAGATAAAGGTGCAGTCTGTGTCATTGCTAATTTCTGAAAACACCTTTAAGCAACAGATAGCTATTTTGAGATCCAGTTTAATTTTGACAGATATAGCCTGGATGGGACCCTTTGATCAGGAACTCACTGCACACAGGATTTTCAAACTTCTGCAGATGAAAAGTTTGGAAGTCTTGGCTCTAGGTGCTTCTAAAAAGTTTTAGGTTTCTTTCAAATACATTAGAAATGCTACATGTTGGAGGGAATGACAAAAAAAAAAAAAAAAAGACTGTTTAATGAAACCTAAAAGGAAACACTTTTTAGCCCTATGTTGCTTTTTTTCAGATCTTATCTATTTTGGCCTCCAGCAATTCAGGATTATCAGATGCACTGACAAAGGGGTCAGTAGCTGTGATACATCCGTAAAGGAAGGCAGAAAGGTTTATCATTGTAAATACAATATACCCTGAAAGAAGGATTTGCTGTGTCACACAATACCTAGCTGCGCTCAAGGACTGGCAGAGCTGCCTTGACATAAGCCAAAATGAAACAAAACCACCCTCTCTTTGATCCGGTCACAGCTCAGCGTATGAGGAATGCACGTCAAGTGAAGGGTGATGGGTGGGCCGGGGTGACACATCCCCGCTCTCAAGCATCAGCTCCTTTGCATACAAGCTATCCCACAAAAGCTTCCCAAAGTTAAAATAATTTAAGAAAGAGAAAAATATAAATAACATGACGAAGAAGGAAGTATGTAATAAGGTTTCTACTCAGATGTGAGATGAGGTATAGAGTCCCCAGACTTGAGAAAGAGAAGTCTGTCTTTATTTCAGACAGATCTCTGTAACATGAAATTTTCCCACCATTTAGACTAATTTTTCAGAAACTGTATTTATCAGTATTATAAATACCTGAAGACATTTACAAATATATACTATGTAAATACGCATATCATGGCTCAGAGCAGTCGGCATGAACGGCTCCTCAGTGCCTGCTGTCCCTGGGAACAGAGAGGGATCTCCTGCATGCATGAACAGCATGGTTCACCTTCTCATGCACAGTGAATCCAGTACTTTGGACTTTCAGCACACAGATGGTTGTTGATTTTGTAGTTGTACAGCTGCCTACATCACATGGCAAGTGACAGCCCATAGCGAGTGACAACCCTCTGCTGTAAGAATATACCATGCTGTCTCTGGGGTGGGAAGACTGGGCACAGTTGCTTCAGAGCATCTGGCTGTGAGCACAGATGTGTGCACTTGCAGTTGGGAGGGGTGCTCATAATGGTTTTGGAAACAGGGTTGACTGCAGTGTCAGTAGGGAGTGGTGGCAAAACAAAACAGTCTCAAGTGAATCACAGGAAGATTTCTATATTACAAGCACACTTATTTCTGTTTATCCGGAGGACTAGAATTATACCTCCTTAAGTTTCTGATGCTTACAAGACTGTCTGAATTATCTGTTGTGCCTCTTGAAAAATTCCCATCTGCACTCATGGACCAGTTTATTTTAAAAAGAGCGGAATTTTGAACAGGGTATATTCAGGAAGGTGTGCAAGAGAAGCTTTGTAAGCAACATTGACACATTCAATATTAATTGACCTGTGTATTCCTTCTCCTCCTCTTAGTGTCAGTTAGATCTTTAACTGATAAAGTTGAACTGGTTTCAAAATAGTAATAAAAATTTTAAGAAATTATGACACTGTAAATCAGTCAGTTTGCACTCAATGTTTTAAGTTTTTATACCTTTTTAGGTACATCTGTTTGTCACTGACAGGGTA